TCTTTCCCATAGGCCTCTAAGGAGGAGGAGGCAGCTCTGGCCTCCCTGTGGGCTCCCTAAAGGTACCACCAGCAGGCACCTTCTCATGTGCCTCGCACCTTTTGCTCACACCCCACTCCCTCACTGTGGTGGTCTCCACTCTGTGCATTTGGAGTGTGCAGTCTTGGGTTGTAACTGATTGCACCTGCCGTCCACAACACTGATGCTTGTGAGGCTGCTGAAATGCTTCTTTTTTGCCAAAGAACGTGAAAACCAAGGAAACCTTCTCAGCCTTTCTTTGTGGCCCTGCCTCTAACAGATGCTGTTGAACAACTTGGAGAGGCTGGAACCTCACCTTTACCTCTCTTGTGCTGGGTTTCCACGCATTACCAGAATCGAGTTATTGAAAAACTTGTGGTTTGAAAAAGTTTTTAAAAAGAAGCCGTGGTAGGGAACCAGCAGTTAGCGTAATGGCTGTCACTGGACTCCCACGTAGTCGACCACGGTTCAAGTCCCGGACCCAGCTTAAAACTCACGCCGGGCGCGTGTGCGTGCATGCCCAAGATCCCGAGAGGATAATGGAGGAGAAGGGATTGCGGCATGACCATCCCCCCTGAGGGGTGATTTCTCGCTTTCTGTCTCTCTGTCTCTCTCTGTCTGTCTGGCAAGTGCATGCGCCCTATAGTGAAAACCTCTCAAAAAAAAAAAAAAAGCCGTGGTAGAGGCTTTGGCGACCATGGATTGTTAAACTAAGGCTATCTCCCCATTCCTGTTGAGGGATTGTCTCTTCAGAAAACTCAGCTTGGGACTTATTTTCACTCTAGGCCAGAATTCTTCCAGTAATTTGCTGTTTTATTTGTTTAGCTTATGTCAGGGCCAGCTGGAAGTTCCCAGTGCTGGAAGAGAGGAGACCCACTGTCAGACTCATGACCTCTACACACTGCTGCCTGGACCAAATAACTACCTGGCAGAGAGGCCCTAGTGACCAGGAGAGATTTGGACAGTAACCGGGAGGGTTCAGCACTTTGCTTGGTCTCCTTGAACCTCTGGTGCAGTCACACCTGGCTTTTTTATTTTTGAGAGGTTTTGCTATAGGGTGTGTGTGCTCACCAGAAAAACAGACAAGAGACAGAAAATGAGAAATCATCCTCCAGGAGGATGGCCATGTCGCAATCCCTTCTCCATTTTCTCCTCGGGATCCGGGATCTCAGGCATACATGCACATGCGCCCGGTGTGAGTTTAAGCCACCGGGTGCAGGACTCGAACCGTAGTTGCCTACATGGGAGTTCAGCAACATAGCCATTACACCAACTGCTGGTCCCCACATCTGGCATACTTTCCCTGCACCTGTGGGGTGCTTTTAAGCCTCTGGCCTAGCAAGCCTCCTTGGTGTTGGGTTTCTGTCACCACTGTCGAGCCTCACTGACCTTCCCAGTCGCTCACCATTTCTATATAACACATGATGGCTAGTGTTGGAAAATGTGTGTCTCAAACCAGTCACGGATATCAGCAACTTTAAAAATTGTATTCCAGTCCCAACTGCCCTATTTACTTGTGTCCTTTCTTTAACCATGGCGAGGTTGACAAGCCACAGCTTGGTGCAGCACTGAGGCAAGTCGCCTTGTTTCCTATCCCAAAGACATTTCGGCCTCAAGTTGGTCTGAAAAGATAAAGCCTGGCACCCTGGGGAGTCTGGCAAGGAGATACAGATTGAGCCAGACACAGGTGACTCCATGCTTCCCACTGCCCTCACTGTGCACCTTGCCAGCTCAGTAACAGTGACCTGCAACAGAGACCACAGTGGATGACCAAACATCCTGGCAAAATAGAACCAAAGCAAACTGCTGGGGTGGCCTCCCACATCCTCCCAGATTTCCAGCAGAATAAGCCGCTGTGCCCGGCATACAGAGCCACTGAGATTGGGTCCCTGCCCTCCCAACACTGCTCTCATACTCTGGGATGAGGGCCACTCTTCCCAGATATTCAGCTTCTCCCTTGGGGCTCCTTTCAAGATTTGGTTCACATGGTCCTGCTGCTGTGAAGCCTTTCCTGTTGTTCCAGAACTTCCTGCAGAATCCTCATCTTTCCCAGGTGCTTTCCCAAAAGCACCAAGGCTGTGGACTGCACTAGCTAACCTGTGTATTTTTGCCTTTCCCAGGAGTTAATTGTCATCTGGAGTACAGGGGCTTATCCTAGCCATCTGCAATACTGAATGAGTTGTTACAGTGTGGTTATTTACTCTTGAGTAAATGTGCAAAACATAAAGAGCACAGTACACAAGATGCAAGCCTGCACTCAGCGGTCACACAGAAGCTGGTCCCCGCACCAGCCCGGGCAATGGTTGAGGGCATCTGAGGCTACCCAGGTGAACTAACAACCCTAACCTCAGCTGGTATATGCCAAATCGAGCTTTCATTGCTTGATTAGATGAGCCTGGGGGAGAGGGGAGGAAAAAAGGCTGCATAAAGGGAGAAATAATATCCAGAAGACTTTCAAACTAAGCATGACTCTGGAAACAAATGTAGGCTCAAAAAAACTTTTAGAAGGAAAAACAGCCACATTTAGGAAACTGCAGTAAGCTTCACCTTTGACTCGGAGCAAAGTCTTAAGTAGACAACAGACTAGAGTGAAAAGGCAACAGGGTGAAACTTATGGAAAGGAGCTCAATGAGGAAACTAAAGCCATAATGAAATCCACAGCAATAAAGGACAGGATTGATGCTGGAGAACTCGATAAACAACATGAGGACAAATTCAAAGAATTCTCTCATTCAGCAGCCCTACTTCACATTTGAAGCAAATCGTAAAGGTGAAAAGGCTTGATAAGTGGGTGCCTCATGAGCTGAAAAAAGTTTTTTTTTAAATATTGTCAGTTTGAAGTGTCTTATTTTATACAACACCAGTGAACCATTTCTCGATCAGATTGTGATTTGCAACAAAAAGTCAGTTATATATGACAACCTGCTCAGTGCTTGGGCCGAGAAAAAGCTCCGAAGCAATTCTTTTTTTTTTTTCTTTGAGAGGTTTTTGCCATAGGGCACGTGCACTTGCCAGAGACAGACAGACAGAAAGTGAGAAATCACGCCCCAGGGTGGTGTCCATGCCGCAATCCTTTCTCCTCTTGGGATCCTGGGCATGCACGCACACGCGCCCAGCATGAGTTTTTTTAAGCCACTGGGTTCGGGACTTGAACTGTGGTCGACTACATGGGAGTCTAGCAACATAGCCATTACGCTAACTGCTGGTCCCCCAAGCACTTCTCAACACCAAACTTGCACCAAAAATAAGGTCATGGTCACTGTTTGGTGGGGTCTGATCCACTACAGCTTTTCTGAATCCCGGCAAAACCTTTACATCTGAGAAGTATGTTCAGCAAATCAGTAAAATGCACCGAAAACTGCACCACCTGCAGCTGACAATGGTCAACAAAGGGGGCCCAGTTCTCCACAACACCCAACTGCATGTCACACAACCAACAGACGGAGTAATAGTTACATCGCTGGACTCCCACTTGGCTGACCACAGTTCGAGTCCCAGACCCAGAGCCTTGAAACTCACCTTAGGCATATGTTGTAGGTGTGTCCAGAATGGTAAGAAATAGGGATTGTTGTGTGGCCATCCCCCTGGGGCATGATTTCTTGATTTTTGTCTCTGGCACACACGTGTGCCCTATAGGAAAAATCCCTCAAGGAAAAAAAAAAAGGTTGAACAAGGGGTCAGCAGGTGATATGGTGGTTAAGGTGCTGG